TCCTCCTCCTCCTCCTCCTCCTCCTCCTCCTCCTCCTCCTCCTCCTCCTCCTCCTCCTCCTCCTCCTCCTCCTCCTCCTCCTCCTCCTCCTCCTCCTCCTCCTCCTCCTCCTCCTCGCTCTCAAGTCCGCTCAAATCCCCTAAGTCTCCAAGATCAATGTCCTCCTCCTCCTCCTCTCGCAGCCCGCCATCTAGCGGCGCTGCTGGCGCAGTTGCTGTTGCTGTTGCTGTTGCTGCTTCTGTTTCTGCAGCTGTCTCGGGTGCTGTTGTGGCTGCTGCTGCTTGAGCTTTTGCTGATTCCTCCACTGCTGTATTGTCTTGCGCTGGTGCCGCCTCTTGTGCTGCAACCGTCGTCGTCGTTGCTGTTGGCCCAGGTACAACCGGCTGCTCAGCGGTTGGTGTTGCTGCCTGTGCTTCTGTTGCTGTGGCGGACGTGTCAGCAGCGGCAGTGGATTCCGGTCCCGCCTTTGTCACCTCTTCTTCTTGCTCCTCCTCTTCTTTCGCCACAGCCGCTGTCGCCTCTTCGTGATCAGCAAAGCCAGTCACCTCCTCCGCCTCCTCCTGTGCTGCTACGTTTGCCGCAGCTGACACAGCACCTTCCTCCTTCTCCTCGTGTTCTACTTCTTCCTCTTGTTCTTCTTGTTCCTTCTCCTCTTGTTCTTCTTGTTCCTTCTCCTCTTGTTCTTCTTCTTCCTTCTCCTCGTGTTCTTTTCCCTCGTCTTCTTCTTCCTCCTTCTCCGCCACTGCCTGCTCATCCCCATCATCCGGCAGCTCCAAGTCCACGTCATCAAAGTCAATCTCTCCAAGAATGTCCTCTTCCTGTTCCTCCTGTTCCTGTTCCTCCTCTTCCTCTGCCTGTTCCTCCTGGTTGCCTTCCTCTTCCTGCTCCTGCTCCTCCTGGTTGCCTTCCTCGATCGCTTCCTCCTGCCTCGCTGGTTCCTCATCGTCGCGTGTGGCAGCAGTCGTAACAGCAGCAGCAGCAGCATCAGCGGTGGCGTCAGTGGTGACAATAGTGGCTGCAGTTTCTTCTTCTTCTTCCTTCACCTCCCTCCCGCTCTCGTCTTCTTCTTCTTCTTCATCTTCTTCTTCTTCTGTTGCCTGCGACTTCGCCTGGTCCTCTTCTTCCGCGGCAGCAGCTGAAGTGGCCGGTTGTTCCGCCTCCAACACGGCTTGGCCTTCCTCCTCACCCTCCATCGCAACAGCACCCTCCTCCTCTGCTGTTTCCTCTTCCTCTTCAACCTTGACTTTCTCTTCCTCCTCCGCCTGCTCCTGTTTCTGCTGTTGCTGATCCTGTTGTTGGCCCACCTCAGCATCCTCCTCATCCTCGATCTCCGCTGCCGTGTCTTCCTCGTGTTCCCCAGCCGCGTGCTCGCGTGCTGCTTCCATCATCTCACCATCAGCCACAGCAGTTGCTTCTTGTTCTTGTTCTTCGTCTTCTTCTTGTTGTTGTTCTTCTGCTTGTTGTTGTTCTTCTCCTTCCTTCGTCGCAGCCTCCAACGTCTTTGCTTCTTCCTCCTCCTCTTCTTCTCCCTCTGCAGCCGCTTCAGCTTGCTCCTCTTTTTCTTCTTCTCCCCCCTGCTGTTCCTCTTCCTCTTCTTCTTCCTTCTCCACGTCCTGCTCGTCCACTGCCTCCTCCTCACCCTGTTCCTGTTCCTGTTCCTCCTTGTCCTCTGCTGTTTCCCGCTTGCTCTTGAGCTCCAGCGAGAGCGCCGCAATCCCCTCGTACATCGCGGCCACATCCTCGTCATCCGTCTCCCCGCCACGCACTGCACACACACACGCACACGCACACACATGAGCATTGCAGGTGAGGTGATGGCGCTGCAGTGATGGATCAGACACAACCACGCACACGCACACACACACACGACTCACATACACACACACACACACACGACTCACAACACCGCGCATACGACACACACACACACCTCAACCTCATCCAACCCCACACCCCCCCACACCCTCAACCTCCCTCCGCAACGCACCGCTACTGCGCGGAGAGGGCGAGAGTGCGGCGGTATGCTGCGTGCGCTGCGGTGTTGTAATCGATGATGATGGTGGTGACGACGACGCTTCATCGTGTTCCGCCATCATGGCCATCACATCACCACCGCCAACATCGGCGCCAGCACTCGTCTCTGCCTCTGATGTCTCCGCGTGGTGCTTGGCCTTTGTCTTGGTTGGTGTCCTCGCGCGTGGTTTCGTGGGTGTGGATGCTGTTCCGCCCACCTTCTTCTTACCACCACCGCCGCTGGCCTTTGCTGCTGGTGATTTGGTCCGGCGCCCCGTGGCGGGCGATTTAGAAACATCGCGCGAACGCCTCGTCACGACAGACGGCGCGCGGAGAGGCTCCCGGCGGCCTGCCCTGGCTGAAATGGACGCACGTGCCGATGTTGGAGCGCTTGTTGTTGCGGACTTTGACTTGTTGGCCTTTGCTCCCTTCTTGCCGGTCTTACTGCGGGGGGACGCGCGCTTTCCAGCGGCTGGCGTGATGATGA